AAGACTTGTAGATGTGGTGCTTGGTGACATGGTTTAGTCATGGACTTGGCAGTGCTGGGGTAATGGCTGGGCTCAATCTGAAGGGTCTTTTCCAATGTAAAAAAATCCATAGTTCTATGATTGTGAGGTTTTTGTATTAAATTTCATTAGAAGGGCACATACTAGATGTAGAGTACTTCACTTGTTCTCAGAATAGTGGTCCTAAGTAGTTAAACAAAGTTTGTACTTTTAACATGGACTAGTAGAGCTACAGATACTGAAAATATCCCATTGACAGAGATGATCTCATTGCTTTTCCTGGATTATCGCATTATCAAAAGGCACATAGTAAATCAGCCAAATTCAAAGAAATGTAAGCAGAAATGAAGGCATATAGCTTATAATTACAATATGAGAAATTGTGCCTAGAAAAAAGACTGAGTTGGAATTTAATCCTACCAACTGTAACCAAAACCCTCTGTAAAATGCTATGACTTAAAGAAGGCTAGGATGATCCTGGAATAAGTGAAAAAGGGAGTTTTATTCATGTTACCTGAACACCTAACATTGATAGGTCTCCACTGAAATATTGATAATGTATTTTATATCCCAGGTGCATGCAGAAGTAGTCAGAAGGGCACCAAATCATATTGTGTGAGAAGTTTTTAGAGCATGTGTCTATGTGGTCATGTGCAATCAGTCCTGCATTAATGTGGGTTTGCCATGCATTGACTGGCAAAAAAAAAAAGAGCTGGGTCTGATTTGAGCTGTATATCTTTGAAACTGCTGGTTTTCTTACCTGTGTAGATGGAAGGGGAAAAATCCAGTCCCACAGTTATGGTGCCATGTATCCTTGGACACCGCTGGTATCCATTGCGCTTAATGAAAAAGAGGTATGGAAGGTAGAGATGTGTATTATCTTCTTTTGGTTTTTCATGGAAAGTATTTTTGCTAGGTTAAATTTTCTTATCTTGTTGACCTTTTAAAATCAGTGAGGAATTCCTCCCCTCTGATATGTATCTTAGTTTCTGGGTGCACATTTTTCTTCTCATTTTGCATCATGAAAGGTTCCCCATGACTGACAGGTTACTAAGCCAAATGAGCTGGTATTTCCCAACTCTGGGCATGCATTTGAACCACTTGGTTAATATGTCCTCTGTGTGTACTTAGGGTTGGCTTGACTTCCCCCAAGTCAGATTGGCAGAGATTTGAAGAGTTCTTCACTGCTCCATCAAGCTCTTGCCATATCAAACTTTCTGAGGTCATTTGGATGTAGCTCATGTGTTTCCCTATACCAGAGCCTTTCGAAGGGGCTCTCAGTCTCTTTTGCTTCTTGCCTGAGACATGCATTCAGTTTTACTGAAGAAAAAATAAATTCTGTCCCTGAAGTATCTAGGTTTGTTACTGAGATTTTGTGTGGACAATAGCTAGCTCTTGTACATAGAAAGCCAGCTGCTGCAATTTAATGGTTATAGGCAGACTAATGTTTAGCAAAATCAAATTTAAAAAGGAAAACCATCCCTCTCCCGGTAAGCTTAGAGACAGACCAGATGAGGAACATGTAATTAAATGTATTCATTGTAATATCCCATAAATATTTTCTCACACATGACAATGGAGAAGGGAAGTGCTGATTCTTCACCGTTCAAAACATAAAAGATGATCCTTTGCCACAAACAGTGATGCTTAGAAATATTTGCAGATCACTGTATAACTGTTTCAGATGAAAAAAGATATTAAAAGCCAAAACTTGAGGAGAGTAACATTATATTGTATACTGGATTAAACATTTCTGTAAAATGAAGTATTGTTCAGGTGTCAGTATTTCTAAAAGCAATTAATTTCCTTTCATTTTTTGGAGGTTTGGAATCAATTTTGAAGGAAGTCTGAGAAAGCATTGTGTATAGGGAGAAAGCAAATACTTTTGATATGTATAAATTGTTTAAGAGAAGGTTAAATTACTTGATAACAGAAAATACCTCGAATAAAAAAAAGTTACTTTTTACATTGCTTATAATGTTAATACAGCAGAAGAATGACAAAAGAAAATATACTGCCTTGGTGCTGAAGCAAAACCTATTCAGACAGGAAAACGTGAATATATTAAATACCTGATATTATTAGATACTGGATTAAGAAGAAGCTATGTTGACTGTGTTTCACGTTTATATGAAGGCTGCATACTTTTCAGCAAATGTATCAGAGCTCAGACAGATTTCTGCCAGAACAAGTTCTTCAATCCTTGCTATACTAGTGATCAACTGAGATAATCAGAACAGTTCCTTTTGCAGAGAAAACAGACTAATTTCTTTGTCACTTGGCCACTGACTATCTGCTACTGAAGTACTCACACAGGCATTACCATGCTGTTCTACAGTTCAAAAGTCTAAATGTATTACATGAATTCCAGTAAGGGCTCAGAAATGCATGGTGCATCCAGCAGGGCTTTTTGTGTTGCACAGATTATTTTATATAACCTATGAAATTATATTGTCATTTTACAGGAATGTTTGGTATTGTCATTTTACAGGAGGGTTGTTTGGTATGCTGAACATCATCTCTGTGTGAACAAGGATGAACAGTGCACTCAAGAGAACATGAATGTTTTAAAGTCATAAAACTGTGATTTTTTTCTGTTGATATGCTTTACCGTTCCCTTTAAATATATTGTTTCTTCCTTTTCATAATTGTCCTTATAAAAGGAGAAAGTAAACATGAACATATTTTAAAAAGGACTTTAGGAAGTACAGAAAGGAATTTTCCATATGAGCTACTTAATGGTTTCAATTTGCATGCAGCAGTAAAAATAGAAGCTCAGTAACTGATTTCTGTATTGCAGTTTAGGAAAACATTGCACAATTAATTTCACGTAAGATTTGCAAAAAGTCTGGTTTAATCAGGATATGTTTGGGACTGTTAAACAGATTCAGAATGCCAAGGTATGCCATATACTTAAGTGACTACAACAGTTAATACCTTAGAAAACTATGAGTCCCATTTCTAAAACATTTATCAACTACCTGACTTTTTTCCCCCATAAGTGATCCTGTCTTGTCTGCTATATTTTCATTGAAATATTTTTATCCAGATAGAGAGTATGTTCTGTGTTGTTGAGAAGAATATCTTTTCATTCCTTTTGTCTTAAGGGCCCAAGGCTTTAAGAAATTTGATTTATAGAAGAAACATTCATTAACTAAGGATGGTTGTCTTAATAATACAGGCTTGTAGATTGTTTTGCTAGAATGACCTTTCCAGCAATACACATCTATATATTGCCTTGTGAATATGCCAGAAAGTAATTTAAGGCTGTGGGGGGAAGAGAGAACTGTCCTTTCTTCCAATTTATACTGAGCAATGCAGAAGTCTTCGGAAATAATAATTCTTAAATTTGTATGTTAAGATTCCCCAGTTCTGCTTACTTAAACATTTCTGCCCATCTAAAATTATTGGTAATTTTACAGCCATATAAACAATATTTACATGTTTAAATTCATTTACATACTTAAAAATTCAAAGTTTAATAACCTGCAAAATAAACAAAACAGAATCATGTTTCTACAACTTGTTCTTTGGTCTGAGTTGTACCCTATAAAATTAATGACTTCTTGAGATACTAAAATTATTCTCATGTACAGCATAGTTACAGTCATTAGAATGTATGGTTGTTCTTTCATGATGTTAATACAAAATAATAACTTGTCTGTATAAGATAGGGTAATCAGTAGATTTCTTTCTCATTTTAACAGATGTGGTCTTGAATTATTTTGGTTCTTGAGGGTCATTTTTTGAAGGCTCAAAACTGAAAGAGTGCAATTTTATTAGATGTTAGGAAGAGATTTACTGTGAGACCCTGGCACAGGTTGCCCAGAGAAGTTGTCTCAGCCCTGGAAGCATTCAAGCCAAGGCTGGATAGAGCATTGAGCAGCCTGTTCTAACAGGTCTACCTACTCCTGGCAGGGGGGTTGGAACTAAAAGATCTTTAAGATCCTTTCCAACCCAAACCATTCTATAATTGCATAGCTTTTGTGATTAATTTCTTATATCCGTTTTTTAGCTCCCATGTTTTTATGCCGTCTCCACTCTTTACTTTTTCCTAGGAAAAAAGTGATGTTTTTATCAAGGCAATTTTAAGATATATTGGTGTATTTTATTTTTTTTATCCTGTAATATTTTCTAAAAATATATCCTTAAAAGTAAAAATATTTCTACTGTTGCAACAATGTTTTGTATGCATACTATAGCTCTGTAAACAGAAAGGTGACACTATTTAAAAGCATAAATTAATGTTCAGTGATCAAAACTGGATAATCCAAAAAGTTTGTTTTGGATAAAGGGATGGAATATAAATAAAAAATTTCATGGGTTGAGATATTTTCTGAAGTGCATGTGTAGGAAGGATAAATTACAATTATGGTATAGCAAGCGTGGTTCATCCTCTGTATCAAGCTTTAATTTCTTAAGCTTAATTTTAATAGTGCTGGTTTATAGGTAGCGTGTTATACTTTATTCTTCAAACTTGTAATGCTTTTTTTGCAGTAATCCAAAAGATGTGCTTAAAATTAAGTGATCCAAATTTTTTTTCGTCTTTTTTTGAGGATGATCTGTAGGTTGGGCTGGTTCTGAGAGATGCCTCTGTTATGCTGAGTTGCTAATATCCAGAGAAGCCTGGAGCTGAGACAGGGATAGCTAGCAGTAGTCTTGAGAACCTCACAGTGACCATTTTGCTCTGTGGAGGAGATTCAGCTGGTGCTGCCTTTCCCAGGCAGGTGCTGCACTCTCAGCTGGCTGGTCCCTTTCGGTCTCAGTGTGCCGTCTGCAAAATGTAGGACATACCCTCCTAATTCAGCCACATGCAAGGAGGATAGCAACACCCACCCTGAGAAGCCAGGCCCTGCAGAGCTACCCAGCCGTAGCTGGCTGGAGGTCTCTGCATGCCCTTCTACCCTTCTTTCTGTTCAGTGTTTGCTGTTGCAGTTTACTGTGTGTGCTTTCCTTCCAAATAATTTCTTTCTCTTTTCTAGTTTGAGGGTTGCAAGAAAGCCTTTTCCAGACTAGAAAATCTCAAGATTCACTTAAGGAGCCATACGGGTGAGAAGCCGTACCTTTGCCAGCACCCTGGCTGCCAGAAAGCGTTCAGCAACTCCAGCGACCGTGCCAAGCACCAGAGGACACACTTGGACACTGTAAGGACACAGAAGTGCCATTGCAGCCCTCTGAACATTAGAACATCTGCTCCTTTCCTCCAGCTTGGTGGCAGCAGGTAGCCCATAACCTTAGAGGCAGGAGGGTGGACAGTCTGATGGGGCTGTTGGAGCTGCCTCAGAGGTGACCCGGTCATCTAAGCATGCAAGAAGATGGACCCAGGCAGGTTGATAAAAAGACCACAGGTTCCATGGTCTTTGCTGCAGGTAGAACAGTAGCTTTCTCCCACTTAGTTGATCTTTAGGGAAACTGGAGCCCTCTGCAATATAAGGTGCTTTTCTCTGGTGAAAAGTTAAAGGTGGGGCATGTACCAGAAAGTCAAGAGAGAAAATTATTTTGTAAATTTAAAAATTTTTGTGCCAACAGATTGTCCCTTGTAAATTTGAGTGATGGCAGAGATTTGTTTTAAAACCTCTGTTTCAGAAAAGAAATTTTGTGTTTTCTCAGAGATAGTTTCCAAAGGTCGGAAGTCCAGAAATACGATTAAAACAATGCTATTTGAATTTAATGGTTGTTTAAAAAAGTAAATTATCCATTTTGAATAGTCAAAACTATGGCTGGCAACTTAATAATTTGCACAATGTGTTTTCAGAAATTCTTTATAGAACATAAGTGAATTAATTGCTGAATAGCTACTTCCAGGAAACAGTTGGACCTAATGCTCATTTAATACTTAGTATTGTGAACCTACAAGACTTCAGGCAAGACAGACAGCTTAGAACAGGCAATATGAGATATTTATATGAGTTAGATTTATTGGGCATTATTTTAAGAAAACTATAAAGGTATTACAGGGTATTTTATAGGTATTTTTCTAAAATGAAGTATTATTAGAAAATGCGAGCTGAAGGAGTTGGTCACTTCACATTAAAATGGGGTTTTTTTGTGTAATACTTTTGAAACTTCAGTATTCAATGCTTGGTTGGGGTTTTGCTTGCCTTCTTTGTAATATAGTAAACTAACACTTTTTCTTGTTCTCTTTTTCTGAAGCGGATCCTTCTATAATCCTAAACAGTCTTTCCGGGCCTTTACTGCAGTTTCTTTACCTGATTCACTAAAGACTGTAATTTCTGATTAAGTCAAAGATTGCTCTGAGGGTGGAAAAATTGTAAGTATATCTAGCAATATTCATTGTACTACTAAGAAAAAAAAAGGTAATCATGAAAGGTGCTGTAATGAAAACTTTCCTTTTGTTTGTCTTCCTTTAAAACTTCACTTCATCCTTTCCTTTTCTAACAAATTGTGAAGCTTTCTGCGCGTAATAATGTAAATGTTTCTGTTCTGTAGTAATGTGGTTTGTAGCATCCCAAGGCTCAAAAAGTATTCTCGAGTTAAAATAATCTGTGATATAACAGTAGCTTTATCATTTTTTTTCCTTTTTTTTTATTTAGAAACCTTATGCATGTGAGATTCCAGGATGTACTAAGCGATACACAGATCCCAGTTCCCTGAGAAAACATGTGAAAGCCCATTCTTTCAAAGATCAACAAGTCAGGAAAAAGGTGATTTTTCTGCTGTCTTGACCAGTTCAAAGTTTATGTGAAGAAATCAGTTATAATATTAGATGTTTCAATGCATCTTCAAGTACTTCGGTTGATTTCAGGCTTTAAATGATAAAAAAGAGCAAATAGATTGTTGTGGTTTGTATGTAGATAATTTCATCTCTGACTTAATGGTTTAATCCTTTATGTTTTCTGCTGTAGTTGTTAATCACTTAACAAACACAACAAGGCAAGTAAAAATCATTTTTGCAAACATAAATTCTTGGTTTCAAATTCTGCCACTTGGTAAAAACACAGTATTACAAAATAATGGCCAGTCTCAGATGGAAGGATGGATTTTGAGGGCAGCATGTGGGACTAAGCTGTAAATTGTATTTCATTATTCCAGATACTTCCAATACTACCAAGATATTTCACAATGCTGATTCCCTGTGGTTGTCAAGTCCATGAATCATCAACTGTTTATATGTATAAGTGCATTTCTAAGGAGCTGAGTTGCTACCTAAGGAAATTCTTTTTGAGCATTTTCATCATGGCTCCTATTAATCACTGGCATAATGTTTGCAAGGTACAACATAGGTAGTTACTGGACCTTTGTAAAGTTATAATTACTAACTAACATTATGCTTTGGTATTTGAAATATTTCCTGACAGTAATAATTATGAAAAATAAGAACAACAAATTTTAATGAAGAATTAAGGTTATTTATGGATTTAATTAAAAGTGAAAATTGGCTTAATGCCAAAAAGGTAGTTATGAAAATGTGAATTCATCAAAAACAACCATAAAAATAACCATAAAAATTCCATGGTGATAAAGGCACAGTGGACTAATACTTCAAGCCCTAGGGATCTTTTCTGTTGAAAAGAATGAAACCCTTTGCTGTCACACCCCGTTAGTCATGGATTCCTTTAATATATCGTGCCTGACTGGCTTTAATCCTCTCTTTAACCTCCCTCTGCATACCAAGTGACATTATTGTGTCATCTTAAGTTGCTGACTCTCCAAGACTGTACCTGTAAATGTATCTTTGATGTTGCCTAGACTTAAATAGCAGGATGAAGTATATTTGTAAGAGTAGGATCTTATGTGCTGTGCTGATATTTACACTGAGTCTTCACCCTGGATTCTGTAGATGTTTCTTCAAAGATTTGACTCTTTCCTTGGCTCTCTAAGATGGGATTATGCAATGGGATAGAGGTAAATTTCCACCTCTGAATTATTTTAAGCAACTTCTGTTGGTATGTGTCTATGACTTACCATACAAGGCAAAATTCTTTTTCTGGAAATCTGTAACGCAGCCACTGTTCCCCTTCACTTGCCAACCCTTAGTTATCCACTAAATACTAAATTTAATTGGGAATCTGACCAGGTAATGGCATGAAATCCAATATACCAAGAAGATACCAGCACAAATGGATTTATTAAAAGTAATTTATTGGATACAATAAAATTTCATTTACTCTTCAAAGGAAAGCAGAGCCATGCGAGAGTAAAGATAGTCATGCCCACTTTAATCATCTTTGTGTATTTTAAAAAATCATTCATAAAAATTAGGGCAAACATCTACACAAATACCATGCAAATATCTGGGAACAGATGCTGAAAATATTTAGTAAAACATTTTAGGTATAATCTCTATGCATCATAATATTCTGTCTGTCATTTTAAAATATTTTGGTGGGGTAAAAAGCAGTGTTTGCTATCATAGTTTTAAAAGGAAAAATTGCTGACTCTGCCAGGATTTCATCTTTTCATTGGGAAGATAGATGCAATTTCATCTAAGGCAGGAAGTCACTGAATGAAAGCTAGACAGCTCCCAAAATGAGAGATTAAAGTGATGCTGAGAGGAATGTTAATGTACAACATGCCCCTCAACTACAATTACTTTTGAAATGTGTTCTCTTTTTAATCTTGTTCTCATTTCAGCTTTGAAAGGACAACAATTTACAAGATTTTTTTGTAAGCTGGCTAGACAAGTAAGCCTATTTTCAGTGGCTACACTTTTTTGATTTCAGTAAAGCACAAATGTCTTTCATCTGTGAACTGATGGTAGTGTATTGAAAATGAAGAATCCACAGCTCTTTTAGTTTGTAAAAACTAAAAACTTTTATTGAAGATAATGAAAATGAAATTATGGAACATTGTGATACCACAGCAGCTGGATAGAAGCTTTCTAACATAGTTTTGAGTATTAGGGAGCAGGCAGTTGCTGGACACCTGGAGGATCCTGTCTCCAATTGAATGCCTGCGTGTTGGGTAAACAGGGTGTTTATCTTACAGAAATGATCACATATGCATTAGCTTTCCCCCCTTACTGGATGTATATGTTTTACTTTATTTTACATAGTCTCATCTCTTGTCAAAAGTCCTCATAGTTTCCTTGGGGTCTGTCTTCAATGTCCCATGTCCTCTTGGGCTGTTCCTCAGCCCCCATTTTTCAGTAAGTGCAATATAATTTTTTTCATAACTTCACCTTTGTTGGCCTTGCAGAGCTGAGCTGGCATCCTGCTTGTGTTTTGCGTGGGTTCTATTTGTGAAGTCACATCCTTAATCTATTTCTCCAAGGCTGTGCTGTTCTGTTCTTCTGTCCTTGATAAGAGTAAAATGTTGCTCTGTTCTACGCATATCCTTAGAATAATTTTACTCATTATCTTGTCCATATTGTATCATTAACAAAATCCAGATCCCATGCTGCTGGATCACATAAGCACAGTTTGGAGGGGGCCACAGTGGTCATCTGGTCCAACCTCCCTGCTCTGTCATCCCAGAGCACATTGCACAGTTCTTGAATATTCCCAACGAGGGAGACTCCTTGGCTTCTCTGGGCAATCTGTCCCAGTGCTCAGTCACACTCACAGTGAAGAAGTTCTTCGTGGTGTTCCTGGTGTGGAATTTCCTGTGCATCAGTTTCTGCCTGTTGCCTCTTGTCCTGTTGTGTGGCACTGGTGACAAAAGCCTCTGACACCCTCCCTTCAGAGACATACAGTGTTGAAGAGATCCCCTCTCAGTCATCTCTTCTCAAGGTGAACAGGCCCAGCTCCCTCAGCCTTCTTTGTGAGAGAGACCCAGGGGTTTGAAGTCTGTATAGAAGGTCAATACCACTGTTATGGTCTTCATGAAGATCTATTTGTTGTGTAAGATAGCACTCAGCCTTGTACAAGTATGGCATCATTGTCTTTTCCATTCAAGTATACCAGGAAAAGTAATTTGCTACTTCTGTATCAGTCATGCTGAAGAAATCTGTGTTTGTAAATCTGAAGAAAATATTTAATTCACTTTCAAATACTGAAGTGCAATTCCCACTGTGAATGGAATGGAATGGACTCTCCACTGGCTTTGTAGATCTTGTCATGAATATCTATTGCCTTTCTTAAAGGTTTTCTCTTTTTAAAAAGTGCATTTTCAAACAGATGAGAGATAATTTTAAGAGGACAAAAAGTTCTGAATTTGTGCAGCTGTTAGGCAAAGATAAAATCAATTTAGTAACATTGACCTCCTCAAGTGAACAATGCAGTGGCTATGCTTTTGGATAGTTTTAATTTTATCTATACCAGTGAATAACCATTGTCATATATAACAGTACTTTAAGGCTATCTGTCCTGCCAAAAAAATCCCCTGAAACTGACAGATTTAAAATATTGTTTCTTTGAAATTAAAAGAAAGTGAAAGATACAGCTAGTTATCTCCATCTTTGTGAAAAAAGGAAGAGATAATTTGAACAGTTGACATAAACAAGACCAGCTAAAGGGAATGCAAAGTCTTAGTCTGGACTTTGAATTGAAGGATGATTTATACCAAATAATTTCTTTATTCAGCTGACCAGCTTGTGATTTCTTGGCAGTTCTAAGTGACCAGATCGTGTCTTGGTGCTTTTATTTAATTTATTTATGGGTCAGATATATTACTTAGACAAGCTTTGAACCCTTTGAATGCTTACCTGACAACTGTCTCTAAAAGCTGTCTGTCCTGTAAACCTGTACCATCTTAGATCATTTAAATGGGTGTGGAGGAACCCATACAAAGATTCAACTGACCAGATAGGTTAACACCTCAGCGGATACTCAGCGGTACTCCTATGTCACTACTTACTTTCAGCCTAACACAGGAATTATGTTTATTTTTCTGGAACAAAAATTTTTGTACTCTCTCTGACAGAAATAAAATATCATAGAGGCATAGCTTCAGGAAAAGCGGTCCAAAGGATATTTCTGAAAATTATCTAGACATGATCAAGATTTTTACAAATTGTAGTTTACATGGTACATGTACCAAATCACTAAGGAATGGAGGGAGGGAGTGGTGAGACTGAAGAAGATAAGAGCTATGTGCTGGGCTTCTAGATTGATTTATTTCTTCCTACATTGGTCAGTAAATGTGAAATGATGTCTGAAGAGATAGTCTCGAGAAGTTAGCAAAGCATTATCCCAATCACAAATCAAGATGGATGCTACCATCATTTGTTCCCATGATATCTGACTGGAAGGAAATTTTTTCAGGTGTTATTTTTCTGTGCAGGAATAAAGCACAGAAGGCAATCAGAATTTCTCTAAACCTGGTGCTATTTATGCATTATTTCTTCCCTGTTGCATTTATTGCTCTTCCAAGATTGATGGGTTAGCAATGGTAGGAAGTTTTCAGAGTACTATTCCTGATTACAATAAGAAAAATGGTGATAGACTGCACTGCTGAGATGAAGCAGGCAGGATGACACCTCAGCCATATCCACTCCTACTTCACACTGTGATAGAGGCCAGTAGGAGGGCAGACAGTCCATACTAGGTGTGAAGCACACTCAAAGCAATGGGATAAGGATTTAAATCATCTGGCCAAAGCAATTACTGGCATTCCCTTTCCAAGTGGTCTCTGCTGAGCTTGATGAGGGTTCCCATCTGAACTGAGGGGGCTTTACACCTTGCTTATAAAGATGTTATAGATATTCTTCTTCTCTCACTGTGCAACCTCCATATTAGCAAAAAGGGAATATAAAATCCTCACC